TGAGTTGCTGGAATAGCCTGAACCCCTTTTGTTTGACTTTTGCTGGGAATAGGACCCTTGAAATCAAGATCTGGATTGATTGCAGTGGGAAGCGGGCAGTTTATAGCTCTGCTTGGAGGAACCAGATTGCCAACACACACCGTACAAGCACCCATTCCCTGGTCTTTACAAAGGATTGAGTCCCCTTTTCTCCCTGTTTTGGTTTTCTCCCCACCTGAGCCTGTTTTCTTTCTTTCCAACTCCTTTCTAGGCTGAACCAACTCTCCTGGAAGTGTACAAGCCTCTTCTTCGAACAGTAACTTCAATCCTGGGTCATCTTCCTCCCCAAACCTTGAACGACATTTACTCTGTATACTACCATAGCTGGACTCTTCAACAGGAATTAAAGATTAAAATTTTCTATAACCCTTAATTGCTTAAGGGTTGAACTGGTCAAAGTGGAGAATTTTCCTAGTTATTTTGTTAGTAATTTCTTCTAAATGGAATCTTCAGAACTCTGAATAACAAAAAAGACTCCAATTTTTTCTAAAGACATAAAGGTTTTTGGCTAAACTTGGAGGCTGTCAACCTCGGGAACTTTTCTCTGATGATGCAATGGAACTGGAAATCTCCCTTGGAAAGCTTCAAAATGATGAAAGATTTTTCATTTGTTATAAAAATTAAAATTAGGAGTGCTTCTGTAGACTTCAGCAATTAAAGAAAGGATGTATATTCAATTTTGCAAAAGAATTTTCATTGGAGTTGGTAAATTATTGTATGTTCTACAGAAATGAATTTTGAATTGTTTAATTTGTAATTTGTTGTATCTGACTTCAATCTTCTGTTTTGTTCAGTGCAGAATTGGTCTTAGAGGAGAAAATAGAATACAATGATCTTGTAGATACTGTTGAAGATGGAACTATTTCATCTATTAGCTTGCAAACTAATGCACTGACCCTTGAGGATAAAGAGGCTAATTCAACTGATGGTATATTTTGCATTTGCAAATACCTAATCTTGGTTTTTCTTCAATTTCCAGTTTCCAGGTTCTGAAACCCATCTGCATATTGCTCTTTCTGAAAACAAGTCTAAATTTCCAACTTTAACAAGTGATAAGTAGTACATATATGTACTTGGTTTCTATACAAAATATGCTACCTATGCTTCTTTTCGACTCAAAGTCATTGGACATTTTGTTAATATAATACCCCATTTTTGATAAGGTGTATGATGATATTATTTTTATAGATTTTAATGGCATTGACTTAGCAATTTCTCATCCCTTTCTTACTAATTTCCGATCATTGTGCATGACAAACTGTTAGCTTACTTTTGCAATGAACTATGATCAGATTCACTGCCAAAGAATGGTCCAAATGACCGTGGAGATCCTAATGATCCTCGTGTAAGATTGAAACGTGATTGTGTGGGAATAATGGCAGCATTTAAGCTTAGGGATCCTTCTAATCATCTTGTTATTTTGGCCAATACACATCTTTATTGGTAAGATGGATGCAGCTTTGGTTTATTTTGTGTAGTTAAGATCCTTGTTTTTGGTCTAGTGCTTCCATCCCCATGTCTTCGATAAATATTCTCTCCTTAAAGTCATGGCTCCTCCTTCTCTTTTATGTGAATAGTCGAATACTCGTGGGTGCAGGGTTTATGCACTTCTTGCAATATTTCCTTTCAGCCCTTCTAAGAATTCTGATTGTTCTCTACCCGTATTCTACTGGCTTCTTGAACTAACATTATCGGAGTTTCTGAAAAACAGGGATCCAGAATGGGCTGATGTCAAGCTTGCACAGGCAAAGTACCTTTTAAAGCGCTTGGCTCAGTTTAAGGAAATTGTTTCAATCAAATATAACTGCAGACTGTCTGTTATTTTGGCTGGTGACTTCAATTCTATACCTGGAGATAAGGTTTGTTTGTGAATGCAATGTTGTTGAGGTGTCTTTAGTTCATTTCTGCTATTGAGTTTCTATTTATGTTGTATATGATCTTATTTTTCAAGTGGTTTTCCATAATAATAAAGTTAGGCTTACTGGCCTTGTTTGGCAATACTTTGTGCTTTGTACTTCTGATAGTATGTAAGTACGAAGTACATACTTGTATTTTTGTACTTTTACTTAAAAAACCGTTTTGATAAAAATTAAAAAAAAAACATAGTTTTCAAAGTAAAAAGTAAAGAAGATATATTAGGATGTTGTGCACATGTGCATGCCACATGACATCCACATATGCCACCATGTGGCATATACATGTTTTTTGATCAAACATATACATGTTACTAAATATATTCAGATTCCACATGGCACAAAACATGTCACTAATGTTAACAGTCAAGTGCACTGATCAAGAAACATGTCACTAATATTACACTCAAATGCCACGTGACATCCATATATGCTGCCACATAGTAGATACATGTCGTTGATACCAAGAAGTAAATCAGTCCTCTAAATCTGATGTAAACTTGATTAAAAAAAAAAAGAGAAGAAAGTGGAGAAAAGAAGAGGAAGAAGAAGAGTCCAATGATCTCCTCTCTCCGCTCACTAATCCTTTTGTTAATCTTCATTTTCTAAGTTAATTACAAGTATGTCCTTAAGTGGGCGGCCAGCTAAGCAAGAACTTAAAATAAACTTATAAAAAGAAGTAACATACTCATTAACAAATAAAATAAATAACAAACTACATAAATAAAAGAATAGATACCAGGGCCCATTTGGCCCAGTCTCTCTACACTCCCCCTCAAGCTGAGCATAGATGTCAATCATGCCCAGCTTGCTTATATAATGTGTCAGCTTCCCTCTTGAAACACCCTTGGTCAAAACATTAGCCAAATGCTCTTCTGAAGAGATAAATGGCAAGCAAACCCCCCTGAAGCAACTCTTTCCTATATAAAATGTCTATAAACCTCTATGTGCTTAGTTCTGTCATGTTGAACAGGATTATATGCAATGTTGATAGCTGCTTGGTTGTCTATTGAAGGCATTTTTTTTAACTTAAATAATATTTAAATAAATTAGAACTCAAATAAGTGGGTTGGCTAGTCTGCTAGCCAAATCATTAAAACTATAAAAAAGTATCCCATATGGGAGTTCCCTCTCTTTAAGTGGGAGGGACAGGTGTCCTTCACCTAGAAGGAGGTAGTTACATAACTACCCCACTCCCTATTTAAGCTCCTTAAGGGGAAGCTAGAAACACATAGAGAGACTCTTCGGAGAAAATTTTCACAAGAGATTCTTAAGAAAAGCAAAGATAAGGAGAGAAGAAAAGAGAAGTGCTCAAGGGAAGGCAAGGAAGGAAAAGTCTCACTAATACAGGTAGAAAAAAGAAAGTCCTCTCTGTAAATACTTTCTATATATATGTCTTTTGCTATGCATCCTTCTTCCTCTTTTATTTTCACTTTTGAGAAAGGAAATAGAGGGAAATAAACCATCTACAATCAGGTGCCTTTACTTAGTTGATTATGGTCCCTCTTTCAAGACAATGTTAGGGATTAAACCATCTATAGTCTAATTCTCGAAGACTGATTATGGTTCCCTTCAAATGAAAATGAAGAGTAGAGGGGAATAAACCATCTACAACTAGGTGCCTCTCCTTGGTTGGTTATGGTCCCTCTTTCAAGACAAAGTTAGGGAGTAAACCATCTACAATCTAAATTTCAAAGGCTGATTATGGTTCCCTTGAAATGAAAATGAAGAGCAGAGGGATGAAAATTGTTTACAATCAAATATTCAATTTGATTGACTACAGTTCCCTTTTTGTATGCAAAATTCCAAATATTAAGGCTGTCTACAATCAGAATTTCATCTGATTGACTACAACTTATTGTGAAGAAAGGAGTGAGAAGGAAATTTTCTTTGTATTAAAAAAAAAAGAAAATGTATTGCTGTATAGTTTCTCAATTGTATTTTCTTTTTCTTTCTTCTCATTYTTGTASACYTGATRTAAAAGAAAAGCAAATGAAAAGTTCTTTTTAAGTACCCTATTGTTCTTTTCTTTTGTTCTATGCGTTCATTTCTCTAAGTCAGAATCAAAAGGTGTTCTCTACTTTCTTGTGGGGATGTAATTAAGGGGAACAATCTGTATGATTCTTTAAATGGGCCTTACCCAAAATAATAAAAACTCAATCACTTGATTGAGTGAATTATGTTGCATGAGAATTTATTAAAATTTTCACACCAACATTGTCATAGTAGAGCATCATTGGCTTTTCATAGTCAACTCCTAACTCTTTTAAAAGTGATCTCAGTCATAGTACTTTGACACTTCATGTGCCATTGCCCTGTATTCTGCTTCGATAGAGGATTTGGCAACTACAGTTTCTTACTCCTCCACGAGACAATGTTCCCTGCCACCAAATCACAATATCCCAAGGTGGATCTCCTATCTTCAATACATCCAGCCCAACCAGCATCAGTGTATGCCTCTAGCTTCGCGTGTTCATGCTTAGCAAATAGAATACCTTTCCCTGGAGTACCTTTCAAGTAACACAAAACTCTTTCTACAACAGCTAAATGTGTATCTCTGGGATAATGCATAAACTGACTAATAACACTCACTGCATAGGAAGTATTCGGCCAAGTCATGCAAAGATATAACAACTTCCCAAGCACTCTGAAACACTTCCCTATCAGGCAAAAGTTCACCATCAGTAGTAAAAAGCTTATGATTGGGATCTATAGGGGTGGAAGCCAGTTTAGCATCAAGTTTATCAGTCATTGCAAGGAGGTCGAGAACATACTTGCATTGAGAAATGAAGATACCATCCTAGATCTAGAAACTTCAATTCATAGGAAATACCTAAGATCCCCTAAATCCTTGATCTGAAATTCAGAGGTAAGAAATCTTTTGAGTTTACCCACCTCTTGGGCGTCATTACGTGTGACCACAATGTCATCAACATAAACAATCAAAAAAGTCACCAAAGAGCTACTTCTTTTCAGAAACAAAGTAATGGTTAGATTGAGTTTGTGTGCAACCAAAGGAGAAAAGAGCAGCCCTAAATCTCTTAAATTAGGCCCAAGGAGATTGTTTGAGACCATAAATGGATTTATGCAGTTTACACACCTTCCCTTGCATTTCCTTTCCATACACCCCCAGAGGTAAAGACATATAGACCGCTTCATGTAGGTCTCCATTCAAAAAGGTATTTTTAACATCAAATTGGTGGAGAGGCCAATCGAAAGTAGCAATTAGAGACAACAAAACCCGAACTGAAGTCATCTTGGCCACAGGAGCAAAAGTCTTAAGGTAATAAATACTATACATCTGAGTATAGCCTTTACCAACCAATAGGGCCTTAAACCTCTCAGTAGTGCCATCAGAATGATACTTAATGGTGAATACCCATTTACAACCTACTGGTTCCATTCCTTTACGAAAATCCACAATATCCTAGGTATGGTTCTTATGCAAAGCATCCAGTTCAATCATCATAGCATCCCTCCATTCAGGTTTAGATAGGGCTTCTAATACAGACCTAGGAATCACATGGGAAGAGATAGAGGCAAGAAAAGAGTAGGTATGGTTCTTATGCAAAGCATCCGGTTCAATCATCATAGCATCCCTCCATTCAGGTTTAGATAGGGCTTCTAGTACAAACCTAGGAATCGCATGGGAAGAGATAGAGGCAAGAAAAGAGTAGGTATGGTTCTTATGCAAAGCATCCAGTTCAATCATCATAGCATCCCTCCATTGTGAGCATCGGAAAACGGGCTCACTTTGCCACTTGGGCTGGAAATAGAGTTGTCACCCATCAGTTTAGGAACTGGAGGTGATGGGACCTCTAGGAATAATTTTCGAAAAGCATTTTTATTTTTTTGTAGCGACTCCAAAGCCCAAAGCACTGGCTAAACCAATCCGGGTAGGTCTCGGATGGGAGAGGGATGAGGTAGGCACCCCTCTCCTGAGTCCAATAGGTGGGGCTCACATGGGATCCTAAAAAAGGCATATAAACAATTGTTTAATTAACAAAAGCATGTTAACAACAAATAAGAATATAATCTACCTCATTGAAATCACAATGAAACTATTTGATTAAGTGATTAACACATAGACATGAGGGATGCTCGAGAGGTGGCACAAATGACAAACTAAAATTCAAATCAGTTAAATTTAACCCAACTAGAATGTGATCTACCGAAAGTGATCAAAAGAAGAAATAAAATAAAAAATAAAAATAAAAATAAACCAAGAGACAACAATGCTTCAAATCCCTAATGGCTAGTAGTTTAATAACAGCATAAAAGAAAATCTACCGATAAAACTAGGTGAGAGTACAAACCTACTGGAGCTGGTTCAGTGGAATTTTATCATCGACTCTCTCAGCTTTTCCTCTCCTCAGATAGAGAAGAAAATAATAACAAATAAAGAAACAAATAAGATAAAAACACAGAAGCCAAGGAATGGCCTTACCTGAGTGGGACGTCGCCTGGGACCGAAATCGATTGCTGCAAAGGATGCCCGACTGGATCTCGAGTGAGCTTCACTAGATCTGAGGAGAGAAAACTGAATTGATATTTGTTTCTGGCGTAACCGGGGAAGTAGATTTTTTGTTCCCATCAAGAAGACAATGAGCAGTAGCTCCGACTTCAAACTTGAGTGCGAGTGAAATAGATATGCTGATGAAGATGTGATTTCGTGAAGAGAAAAACAAAGGTTCGCTGGCGGTGAGAAATAGGGAAGGGAGAGCTGTCGTTGCCACTAATAACCACTGCCTACCGTTGTGTCAAGAAAGAAGAAGACGAGCAGAGGTTTTTCGGTTGCAGTTTGGTAGAAGATAGGGGACAGTTGGGGTGAAGAAAAGAGAGAGAATGCGAGGAAAAAAGGAGAGAATGGACGGGAATGGAGAAGACTACCACTGGTATGCCACCGCTGCTCTCGTCATTTCTAGTTCAGTGGTGATAGAGGAGCA